AAATATTTTAAATTTTAAAAAAAGTAAATCATAAACAAATTTATAGCAATTTTCCAGGCAAATTTGCCTGGAATTGTTTACAGTTTAAGGGATAGTAAGTTAATTCTATTATTTAATTAAATAATTAATTTTTTATTTGATTTACAAATAATTCAAATAATTTATATAAGGTAAAACAATGATGAAAATAGAGAAGCATTGAAGTGTAATCAAGTGACATTATTTGCATCATTTTAACTAACCTAGGTTATTGTGGACACTTCTCACTAAGATGGTGCCAGCACAAAAAAACCGGTTTTCACAAATTTTAACTTGTGCAGTAGAACCCAGTTGGTGGAAGGACTTCAAGAAGGAATGGGTTTATACTGGCACAAGTGATGAAAAATGGGCAGGGATATGTGCCAAAAGGCCTAGTAAGAGAAAGCGAAGTATTAATATAAGAATAGAAGGCTCAGTAGGTTCTTATTTTACTGAGATTACCTAATAGATCTGTAGCTGCTCGGTATTTTATAAAAATCAGTTTCTTCTGTATAAACATTTGGTAAGACCAACTATAAATACACCTGATGGAAAAAGATGGCATTTGATCAGAAGTGAATTTGAATATTGCACAACACCTCTGTTCCTTATTCTAAATGATCTTAAAAATAATAATGCAATATCACCAGGTACTTAAGCTATTATACAAGCTGCTAAAGATTATAATATTGAAGTTACTGCTAATAGCCTACCAGATAGTTATAACATTAATGTTGATGAGGATCCAAGTGAAGAGGCTCATACTTATGTCGAATTAAATTAGGAATTGTTTACAAAAGCATTCGAACGAATTTGTTCTGAGAAGTCTGCCAATAACTGGTTACATGTTAGAAACATAATGAAATAGAGCTGCCTGGTACAAATAGAGAAGGATATTCAAGCTATAGAATGATGAAGACATAGACAAGCAACTTGGAAGCAGAAAATAGCAAGAAGCCATACCTTATGTATTTACCATATCTTGAAGAGTCAAGGACAGACGTGAATGATATAGATTATAATGAGAAAAAGTACATAAAGTAAAGTGGCTAAAAGCTTTCATCTTTTTAAAGCTTGAGGTTCTACATGATTGATTCAAATCAGCAATATTTCTGCTGTAGAAGTAATATCTTTCTAAAAAATTTTTGTAATATAATACTATATTTATAAATTCAAAAAGTAAAAATTAAATTATTAAATAAATTAAAACAAATAATAAATATAATCTTATAAAGCCTTGGCAATATAGCAATAGAGTGTTTGAGGTTAAATATTAATAAAAATTATTTGTAAAAAGCTTTCTTATTATAAATCAGATCATTTTCAACAAAAAACTAACTGTTAAAAACTGATTATCGGCACCATAAATTGCTTATATATATAGCATTACCTGATTGGTAAAGACGATTTTGCTGCGGCTGCAGCTATGGCGATCATCATGTGACAGTACTTTGGAGGGCCGCCCTGGCTAATTCTCATATGGGTACTTTGGCGAATGGAATATGGTAAATTTTTATCGCATTTTTGACAAATTTCATATGAGTTACTTTACTGTATTTCTCTATCTTTATATATGTGATTAATTAATTTATTAATTTATAAACTTCTTTATATAAAGCTTCTTAGTATATCTCGTATATCTGGTATATATAGGAATGTTAATCTGTCCCACAATAATTATCAATAGACTTGAGCAAGATTTGTAAAAAAAAAAAAAAGAGGAAATTACACATCGGGACCCAAATTTGAAAATAATTATGAATGAGGCCCCAACATAAAAATATTTATTTATAAAGGCCTAATTTTTAAAAATATTACAAATACAGACCCTAATGTAACCACGGGATCATTGCGCCATAATATTGCAACGATCACTCACCTCCATAACTACATAAAGTTGTAGTTAAAGAAATAATATATGACTATCAATTTTTATTTGTAATAAGCATTTATATTATTTAATTTTATTTTTTTTTTAAATATGTAAAAAGAATAATAATTATACAAATTAAAAAAAAATCAATACATTTAATTAGCGAACCATTTTAAGATGTATAGTATAAAGGCAACATTTATATTAATGCAATTTTCCATTAAGCATAGTAAATTAATTTTCTTTCTGCCTATGTCTTCGATTACAAGTCCATATATTATGGCCTTTTTTACCGCATTTTTTGTAAGTATTTTAGTCTTCTGGTGCTGATTCTCCAAGTAAACATCATCCCAATTTGTAATGTGTTTAATATAATGCTAATATTTACAATCGAAGATAATGCATGCTTAAGCACTGATTCATATGACGCAAAATTACTTGGGCCTGTATTTGTAATATTTCAAAAATTGGGCCTTTATAAATAAATATTTTTAGGTTGGGTCCTCATTTATAATTATTTTCAAATTTGGGTTCCGATGCGTAATTTCCCTCTCAAAAAAGTTATTTTTCTGCCATTTTTAGTTTATCGGTCTTTAGATGAAGGACTGATCAGCTAAATTTTCCACAAATCCCCCTAAAAAAAGTTACGTATCTGAGCTTAAATTTAAAATACTGTTTTTAATTGTACATAGTAACAATGATGATGACTATTATTATGTTTTTTTAATTGTCAATTTTAATCTAAAGTATAACTTTTCTTTTTGTTCTAATGCTATTTATTAATTATACAATGTCAAAATGAATCACTCAAGTATTGTACAAGTTGCCGATTGTTTAGAAAATCTGAAAGTTTTCCTAAGGAAAAAAGTTGTTGTAATAAGTGCTTAGAACAGATAAGGGCAAATTTAAAATGACGATATATATGAAAAAAATAAAAAATTTTGATACAAAAGAAAATTTTATGCTTTTAAGTGATTTAATACAAACTAAGATTCTTTAATTTCAATACCGGAAATTAATGAAACTTAGAAGGTGATATATTCTTTAAGTGTTGTGTTGATTTTATGGAACTTTTAGATTTTCAAAAAAACAAATTACTCAAATGTCATATTGCAAATAAATCTTATTAAAAATGTTCAGGGTATATATAAATACCATTTATGATTTAATAATTTTAATGTTATACAAAAAAAAATATTAACAAAATTTTATATAAGCAAATGCTTTATTTCAAGTTGTATTACTTTCTCAGCAAAAAAAAATGGCTGGGTTTGAGAATGCAAAAAAAACATGAATGGGAAAAAAAAAAGCATTTTATTATATTAATTGTAATCGAAAAATAATTTGGGTGAATAATTTGTCAGAGTAGCTTAGTTATTAATAAATTGCATGCAAAAATTAATATTAATTGAAAGAATTAATATGAATATCTGACGAACTTTTTCGAATTTTTTCTAAGAAATATAGTTACACATAACTAGTGGTGATCATCACTACCTCTAGATATATTTAGGGTTAGGGTTAGGAATTAGAGAATTATTTTTTTTATATAAAATAATATAGAGCTAATATAAAATCCTAAATTTAATTTTCATAAAGTTTTTGGGGGTCCTGACCATTTTTACTTAGGATACCCAATCCAGTTTACTTAGTATATTTTTGAAATATAAGCACCCTGGTGATGATCACCACTAGTTATGGTTAGTAAGATTCTTTTTCTAATTTTGAAAATGAAACTTCTGTTCGGAAAAATTTAAACTCAGATACGTAACTTTTTTTTAGGAGTATACTAGGGAGGTTTAAATTTTCTCCACACTGTTCGGTCTCTAATCGACCCATCCAAATCCTATTATCAATACAGCAATATAACTGATATCGTGTGACTGATAACGTATTGGGTAGATTCATAAAAAATCAGCCAATCAGGCGATGAAATCTAATACGCCTGATCTTGTCCTCTGATTGGTCGAATCAGAAACCTGGGAAATTAGTAAATGCATTCTGCAATTAAATCTCTTGTTGAGGAATGGCTTCGCCTAGATAAGGTTTTGTTTATTTTTAACGTTAACTAACACCAACTCCACCAAATCGTTAAATTACATTGTTTAATAGCTTCTATTATTACTGTTCTACATTCAAAGAATCCTATAACACGCTTAGAAATAGAAAAGCTTTATGCCGAAGGTAATGTTGAGGAACTAGAAAAACGCCTTCGCAAAAGGATATCGTTTGGTACTGCTGGTAAGATTTTTATTAGTTGAATTTTTGTAAGTCAAATTTAATCAATTTCTATTTTTGGTTCCTAACATTAAAAATAATGCAACTTTAAACAGGATTGCGATCTAGTATGGAAGCAGGATTCTCGAGAATGAATGATCTTACTGTAATTCAGGCTACACAGGTATTATCATTACTTAATTTTATATAATCTTCTATTTAACGCTAATATTATTTATTTGAATCTATTTCAGGGACTTTGCATGTACCTTCTTGATACTATACCAAATGCAATTATCAAGGGTGTTGTGATTGGGCACGATCATAGAAACAATTCAGAAACATTTGCAAGATTAAGTGCAGCAGTGTTTTTATCAAAAGGGTTTAAGGTTTATTTTTATCGTAAGTTGGTTCACACTCCATTGGTGGTAGGTTTCCGTTTATTTAATTTGTTAATTAATTTAAATATATTTGCTTATTAACAATTATTATTTTAGCCTTAT